ACATCTTGGAGCAAGGGATCGCTGCTCCCTGATCCTGCCAGCTCCAAAAAGCTCCCCACTGCAGTCTCCATCGCCCCCACCTCACCGAGGAGATGCATGCCCTCCCCTGGCATTACTTTACTCAGGTATTTACTAACTACTCTGGCTCTACAGTCAAGTCAGCTCCCTTGGGCACGAGGCAGAACAGGCAGCCATGGTTATTTAGGAAAAACTGAAGAGTAATTGCAGGGTAAGCAGTCTTAAAGCTGGCTTCCTGTGAAAATGTAAAACCACCCCCAAAAAAACCCTCACGACCGCATTTAAAAAAAACCCCTGCAAGCTACACAAACCTCATTGCCCGATTCTTTATTTTAATGAATGTTTTGCAAGAAGGCCCTGTGTCCAAAATAACTCCCGCTTCCCAAATTGCCTGACCGCCACACTCCTTAAAGGACACCGAGCACGGCTGGAATCGCACCCTCGACAGCTGGCTGCTGCGCTGAACACGTTAATGGTCACAGCGTGCTCAGCTTTTTTCCTGCAAACGTTACCTGCAATGGGCTCCATCTCTCACAGGGCTCTCCTTGGCAGTGTCAGACCACTACCCAGCCAACAGGACATCTATTTCTTTCTAGGACAAGGAACACTATCGGCCAAGACCTTACGGTAAATACAAGTCACTCTACCTGCATGACTAACACCTTCCTGTGGGGAAGGACTTCAGTTATTTTTGTTTATTTTTCCATACTTTGTGTTGCTTGCCTTCACTACCGCGCCAGCAAATTCCAGTTTCCTGCAACGTCCTTCGCAATGCCACATTCAAGCTGCACTCACTTGAAAAAAAAACACAAAAACATTTGAGAGAAAACTATGATCACAGGAGGCAGGCAAGTGCTTGAGATGGATGAACTGGGACCATTTTTCCTCAAAGGGAAAAAGCTGTTTTCCAGTCAATAAAAATCCCTTTAACATTTCTGACAGCTGGGTAAGGCAAGCCAGCCACGCTCTCCAGCTCCCAGGTGCACCGACGAAAGCTGCTCAGCTATTTTGGGCACAGCCACAACCCTCTTTCTGCTCGAGGACGCGGCTCCTGGCAATACCCAGTTTCCAGCATCTCCTCATAGAATCACGGAATCCTTTAGGTTGGAAAAGACCTTTAAGATCATCAAGTCCAACCGTTAACCTAACTCTGCCATCCCGATGCTCACCGGGGGCTGCCCCTGTGCCAGGCAGGGTCTTCTTGGGGGTGATGCTTGCTCTGGAAGCCCTTGCTGGGCTCTGGAGGGAGATCAGCATCGGTGAGGTTGACTGTCACCAACAGAACATGCCCCGCTCCCTGCGCCAGGATGTCTTAGAATCATAGAATCGCTTTGGTTGGAAAAGACCTTTGAGATCATTGAGTCCAACCGTTAACCTAACCCTGCCATCCCACCACTAAACCCTGTCCCTAAGCACCTCATCTACCCTTCTTTTAAGTACCTCCAGGGATGGGGACTCGACCACCTCCCTGGGCAGCCCATTCCAGAGCCTGACAGCCCTTTCTGTGAAGGAATTTTTCCTAATGTCCACCCTAAACCTGCCTTCTGCAGCCGCTGTGATGGGCAGCATGCAAGGAAACCACCACGGTCGCTGCAGGCCCTTCCCCAACCACCCCACACCCAGCTAACCTGAGCTCCGAACTTGGGAGACCTTTCCGACGCAGCCAGAGGCACTCCGAAAGGGTACGGCTCTCCGAGCAGGGGGACGTCCGAGCTCAGCACTCGCTGCTGAGCAGGGCAGGAGGGAGAATCAGTCCGAAATACTTCATCCGACACAGGGGCACATCAGGCTGTGCTTCCTTTAAGGTCACATCTAGGAACAGGCGAGCTCAGCTCTCCTCAGTCTATTTTTAGGCAGGCATTACGATTATTTTGCTGCTGGTTGTACCAGTGAATCCTTTGCTACGAGTTCCCTTCGTAGTATCAAGGATTCAATCAGCAAGCAACACGCTCCCACTTCCCAGCAGGACGAGCTGGGTGTCACCAGAATCACTTAATGAAAGGAACATCGTCATTAGTCCGACCGCAGGCTGGAAGCGCTGTGCAAAAGTTTCCTGGCTCTTTCTACCAGGGATCATAGAGGCAGGCTCAGGCAAGAGCTAGCACAAGTTCGCAGCCCTCCCTCACCTTGTCCCAACCCTGGCTCTGTAAATTAACCTCTAAAGGAGGCTGCACTGCAAGCCGATGCCAGAAGCCGCTGTAACTGGAGCCTGCTAAAGCAGGCACAGCTGGCTGCTGCGCTGAACACGTTAATGGTCACAGCGTGCTCAGCTTTTTTCCTGCAAACGTTACCTGCAATGGGCTCCATCTCTCACAGGACTCTCCTTGGCAGTGTCAGACCACTACCTAGCCAACAGGACATCTATTTCTTTCTAGTACAAGGAACACTATCGGCCAAGACCTTACGGTAAATACAAGTCACTCTACCTGCATGACTAACACCTTCCTGTGGGGAAGGACTTCAGTTATTTTTGTTTATTTTTCCATACTTTGTGTTGCTTGCCTTCACTACCGCGCCAGCAAATTCCAGTTTCCTGCAACGTCCTTCGCAATGCCACATTCAAGCTGCACTCACTTGAAAAAAAAACACAAAAACATTTGAGAGAAAACTATGATCACAGGAGGCAGGCAAGTGCTTGAGATGGATGAACTGGGACCATTTTTCCTCAAAGGGAAAAAGCTGTTTTCCAGTCAATAAAAATCCCTTTAACATTTCTGACAGCTGGGTAAGGCAAGCCAGCCACGCTCTCCAGCTCCCAGGTGCACCGACGAAAGCTGCTCAGCTATTTTGGGCACAGCCACAACCCTCTTTCTGCTCGAGGACGCGGCTCCTGGCAATACCCAGTTTCCAGCATCTCCTCATAGAATCACGGAATCCTTTAGGTTGGAAAAGACCTTTAAGATCATCAAGTCCAACCGTTAACCTAACTCTGCCATCCCGATGCTCACCGGGGGCTGCCCCTGTGCCAGGCAGGGTCTTCTTGGGGGTGATGCTTGCTCTGGAAGCCCTTGCTGGGCTCTGGAGGGAGATCAGCATCGGTGAGGTTGACTGTCACCAACAGAACATGCCCCGCTCCCTGCGCCAGGATGTCTTAGAATCATAGAATCGCTTTGGTTGGAAAAGACCTTTGAGATCATTGAGTCCAACCGTTAACCTAACCCTGCCATCCCACCACTAAACCCTGTCCCTAAGCACCTCATCTACCCTTCTTTTAAGTACCTCCAGGGATGGGGACTCGACCACCTCCCTGGGCAGCCCATTCCAGAGCCTGACAGCCCTTTCTGTGAAGGAATTTTTCCTAATGTCCAACCTAAACCTGCCTTCTGCAGCCGCTGTGATGGGCAGCATGCAAGGAAACCACCATGGCCACTGCAGGCCCTTCCCCAACCACCCCGCACCCAGCTAACCTGAGCTCCCAACTTGGGAGACCTTTCCGCCGCAGCCAGAGGCACTCCGAAAGGGTACGGCTCTGCGCGGCTCTCCGAGCAGGGGGACGTCCGAGCTCAGCACTCGCTGCTGAGCAGGGCAGGAGGGAGAATCAGTCCGAAATACTTCATCCGACACAGGGGCACATCAGGCTGTGCTTCCTTTAAGGTCACATCTAGGAACAGGCGAGCTCAGCTCTCCTCAGTCTATTTTTAGGCAGGCATTACGATTATTTTGCTGCTGGTTGTACCAGTGAATCCTTTGCTACGAGTTCCCTTCGTAGTATCAAGGATTCAATCAGCAAGCAACACGCTCCCACTTCCCAGCAGGACGAGCTGGGTGTCACCAGAATCACTTAATGAAAGGAACATCGTCATTAGTCCGACCGCAGGCTGGAAGCGCTGTGCAAAAGTTTCCTGGCTCTTTCTACCAGGGATCATAGAGGCAGGCTCAGGCAAGAGCTAGCACAAGTTCGCAGCCCTCCCTCACCTTGTCCCAACCCTGGCTCTGTAAATTAACCTCTAAAGGAGGCTGCACTGCAAGCCGATGCCAGAAGCCGCTGTAACTGGAGCCTGCTAAAGCAGGC